TGTTAAAACTGATCTTATTGTGATAAGTCCTGTTCAAGGCAAAGGGCTGCTTTGTGGTAGGCACCATGTAACTGCAGAACAGCTCCCCTTTCCCGGATAGCTTCCAGTTTTAGGGAAGAAAGAAGAAATAATGAATTAATACTGGTTATGATCATGACAGACAATTCTGCAATCTCACTGATAAGTATCATCCCAAAAGAACATTTTAATTTCTTTGATGCTGCTTCACAAAGCTTCAATTGGAGAGTACTGGAGTTTCCTCGAGCTCTGGAGTGCTAGGGCCTGAGTGGTAGTTCAGATTTTACAGAAATAAGTTGCACTGATATCAGAGGGACTTCCTCAGACTGAAAGTAGCTACGTCAGATGGCCACTTAGTTCAGAAATCTTGGCTGGCTTCCCTTCCAAGGCCCTGGTGGGGCAATAATGCAAAAATAATAAAAGGCTGGTACAAAGCTCAGTGCAAAGTCTCTAGTACTTGGGCTGACGTACGTCGCACAGCCATAGTAAAGCCCTTTCCTGTATGAGCTGGTTGCGTTAGTGGTTGAGCTGTCACAGGGACTCAGGACATGGGCAGGTGGACAGGAAGTTCTGCTCTGCATTGCTGCAGAGGAGAATGTGGTACTCGAAGTAGAGAAATGTGGGAGTAGTTAGTCCTGACTGCTGAAACCACTGCATGTTTTATCATTGGTCTTAATAGAGGCAGGATTTAGCTCAGCGAAGTGTGTCGTTGCTCTTAACCTGTTCTGCCAGCCTTTCTCATGTTATATGCTTATGGCAAGGTATTACCTGGGATGCCTTGTTATTTCCTTTTGACTTACTTTATATTCTGCTATGCGCTCCCACCTCTTTTGAGAACAAAATGCTGCACGAATGCCTTACGGGCTCTTTCTCTTTCACTGACCTTTTTTATGGCTTTAAAGAAGTTTCCCTAGGCTCAAATCTGCTCTCTGTCTTGAATATTGACCTTAGAGTTACACCATCTCATTGTCGCTGCACGCAGACTTCTCAGCTATCAAAGTTCACCCACAGGACTCAAAGTATTCCTAACTCAGAAACACTTTGCCTTTTATGTCCTCCTCCTCTTCCCCCTCCTCCCTCCACATAAGTGTTTTAATTTCACAAGCAAACTCTGTTTCTCTGTGAATTTCGTTAAGTGGTTTACCTGTTTCACGGTAACAATTGTACTGTAAATTTAAATGTCTTTTTCACTGTGGCTGTCATAATATTTTCCATTTGAGGCTGAGACTCCACTGTGGGTTTTCTGTGCCACATTGTCATCTCTACAAATCCGGGCTTAAATGCATGGAAATTCTGACATTTCAGTAAGAAATATAAAGTGGGTTTTTGTGTTCTTCAAGTTAGCTGTTTCATAGGCATGGCCGCTGGGTTTTGCCCAGTGCCCTGGTCTTTCCCAGTTCAAGAACAGACTGACGATTTCTCAAGATTTTTGAGCTTGTTTGCATCCACTGTATTGTGTCATTTCTATGAGAATGAGTGAAGGTAATTTTTCATCTGGTTGCTTACCCCGAAAAGGTGGTAAAGGAATAATTACTCTAAACTAGGGATTTCCAAAGTGGCTTTGCTTAGGTGCCACTACCATTGGCAGCAGTGGTTACATACAATGCCGAATGTTATGTCCGTGTACTTGGTCTTCAGTGAGGATCTTGGAGAAGGCAGCTTCGTACCAAGCAAGTTGAGCCAAACTTTGTGTGGCTTCACAATGGAAATGGCTCCATGGTGGCAAGAGCCTTCAGTGGGGGTTTGGAGGAGGTTTTGATAGGCTATAGCACTGTTGAACTCTCTGCCTTCAAGTGAATGGCCTATCATCCAAGACTGCTTGTGCCCAGTAGTACAAGCCACATGTTTTGGGGGCAAATGTTGACTATTAATGTTTACCTACTATTCAGTATTTGTCAAAGGCTGAAATCTCTCTTGGCAGTCATGCGGTTTCATATAGTGGCTTGTTATGTGGAACAAAGATCACTGGAATTGGGTAGTATGAAATATGGAAAAAGGTACACCCACTGGCAATGTCCATGTCCACAAATATATACATATTTTGTCATTAGTTACTTTGAGAATACGAGGGGAAATTTGCAGCTATTTCAGTGACTTGACATGTGTCACAACGACAAGGTTTCTAAAATCCAGACCGAAATTGCTACTTCGGCTAACAAACAGGTTGTGAGAATTGCTGGTGACGCAAAGTGCTGCTATCAGAACTGATTCCATTGTGGTCTGACCTGATCAATTATGCTGCAACCCAAGTCACAGTCACTTTGTGTAATTTCCTAGTATAAATCAGATTTTACACGTGTGGGGCTATGATGTGCTTGTATCTGTAGAGCAGGGGGGACAGAATTTAGAAATGAACCCAAGACAGTTGTATTCAATTCTGCTCAACTGGAGCTCACAAACTTCATTCTTCATGGTTGTGTCTGAGCAGCTTCCAGTTGTGTATTATGCAACATGACTTAATATTTGTCATGTGTTGTTTATTCTCTTATCTTCTCAGAGGAAGGAGTGCGTGTGCTGGAGTATTCCTTTCCTTGGGGAGTTACTTTCCTCAAATCCCATATTGCCTGTAGAAATCATGCCTTTATCATTAGTTTTTATCATCTCTATGAACCTTGAAATTTGATGGAATTTAGGTAGCTGACTGTCCTAGATACCATTGGAAAAGCTCATCCTTGTTGTGTATGAATAGTTTCTGAAATTGTTGCAATGCAGGGAACAATATTTGAAGAGGTGTAATACGACTTTTTTTGATTGTTGAATCAATTTTTTTTTTCTTGTGCTGTAATGTAGCAGAATATGTTTCTCTGTGCTAAATGATAATATATGTAATTGTAGTTGCCTCTTGAATAGCTGAAAGAGATAATGCCTTTCCCTTGTGTCTTACAATTTATCTAAGTTGCTTGATAACCTGGTGTGGCCAAACTGGGTAGGCTAATTCATCCCTGCCTCAGCTCAGTTACCTTGCATAGGATTTTTTTGATTAGACACAGAGTTAACCTCTAATAAAGGTGTCAGACTGACAGACGTTGATGCCATCTAGATGCATGATGAAGCATTGTAATGGTGATGATAAAAGTCTTTCCAAACTAGGGAGCCACCAGTGTGTTTTCCTAAAGGTGCTTCCAGAATGAGATGTCTGGTTTATGTTTAAAAGCTGAGGCTTGATCCAGATCATCACATCATCCCCATCAAGGGCAAATACTCTGGGAATGATAATGAGCCTCACGCTTGGCCTCCACTGAGATTTCCAGTACCAGCACCAGTTACAGCAACAGTGTCAGCTGGTGAGCAAAATAAAATAAAGACCACAACAACTGTTTGGTCTAAGACACAATACTTTCCTGAGGATAAGCCTTATCTCTAAATAAAGAAAAACAAATCCACTGTTTGAACGCTTATTAAAAGCAGCTTTTCTTTTTTTTTTTTTTTTTTTTCCCCTGGTGGAAAATTTGGTTGTGTCACTGAACTGCACACACAAACATTTTGAGAAAAATAGAAACTTTCTGTGAACGTGTTCTTTTCATCAAATCCCATTTCTCTGAGACAGAAACATTTGAAACTTTTTGACCAGTTCCAATATTGGAGGCTCAGGCTTTTTCATCTTCCATCATATGGGTGATGTGGGGCACACACTGTGGTATGTGCTAGCTGTGCAGAGACCCCAGAGAATTTCCCTGACTCTGGGTCTTTCGTGTTTAGGGCTTCAGCCCCAACACAAGGAGCCCTCTACCCAGCCCCTTTGTTAGCTGTGGGTTTCCCCTGCATTTTCCCATCCCAGTGGTGATGGTGCATTTTGGCTCCAATGAGTACAGCTTGGATTTCATTAAGTAAATGACTGTGAAGAGCTTTCAATAATGACACAAACCCAACAGAAACATGTATGTTATCCAATAGAGGATGTTAATTTCTTTGGCAGGAAACTAAAATTTTTACCTAAGATATTCTAAACTCTGAAACAAGTTTGACCTTCCCCATCCCTCAGCCAGCTCTGAAAATTGCAGCCAATGGTGTTTTACTAGACTTAGAGTACTGACTTAATAGCTCTTTAGTTATTAGAGAATAAATGCTCATGTTCTACAAGTTTAAATTATATTAAAAGCCTTTATTAGCATGGCTTGGCAAAATACACTTCTGGCTAGCTTTCTGGCCTTGGGTTAGGCCGTTCTTGTGGTTTCTCAATAACGTGCTATGAAAAGGATATTCTTTATAGTGATCTGGTGCCAGGTTTTGCATGTATTAAGAGGCATTTGCCATTTGCTCACAAAGCTGCCGAGTGGGGAAAAAAATTAAAAATTAAAAATTGGAGTTACGTATTGCATTAATCTGGCTTGATTTTCATTGTACATGACCTTTTATATTTTTTTAATACATATATATTTATAATTTAATACTATCTGGTCTCAGTGAATTACTGGTGGCAGCTCAATTCTAGCAGTGCTGGTACCAAAGTTACTTTCTGTTGTCTTTTATTTCCCAACCTTCCCTTAGTAATTTTGGCAAAGTTTCTTCAATGAAAGAACTATTCCTCTGGGCCACATAACAGGTTTCCCCACAGCTGGGAGCAGAATTAGGCCACTGGGGCAGCTCATTTTTGGGAACACAACTGTTTGTGCTATGGGCAAAATGTCTCAGAAGTTTCTTTCCCACGAGACTTGGTGACACACAGGCAGTGCTGAGATGTGATTCAGCTGTTTGGTTTGTTTTCCCCTCTTGTCTGTTTATTTGTTTTGCGAGCAACAAGTCTGCCTCTTTTTCCTTCTGCTGATACTGTGCATTAGTGTGAAAAATGGATGGGGCAAAGTACCCAGCGGGTGGGAGGAGGTGTGTGCGGTGGGAAAATGGGGCTGGGAGAGAGGTTTGGAACTTGAGTAACCTTTCTTAGATGTCTTTCCTCACAAGAGTTGTTTGTTGCAAAGGTTTGATTTTTTGATGGCAAAGTGGGTTGCAGTGGATTTGACCTGATGCTCTCGTTCTTTCCACAGTGGGGAAGCCTCACAAGTGCAACTACTGCGGCCGAAGTTACAAGCAGCGCAGTTCGCTGGAGGAGCACAAAGAACGCTGCCACAACTATCTGCAGAATGTCAGTATGGAGGCTGCTGGGCAGGTCATGAGTCACCACGGTGGGTGGAAACTGCCTTTTGAGGTCTCTTGGACTTGGAGCATCTCTTGCGGGTTTTTTTCCATCTGTTTTTCTTCCTTCCTTTCAGCTTTGCATCACTTCCATCTTACAGATTGCTTATACTCAGATAGGCAGGAGGAGAAAAGACGGGCTAAAATCCGAACTGTGTCCAAATTAACAGTACTGGTTTTGCTGGTTATTTTTTTAAGTCAGTATTTCACTTTTTAGTATGTATAAATATGCAGACATGAAAGTAAAGCAAAGTCACCTGTGCAGAGTTACCCTAAAAATTGACTAAGCCATGTATAAATGTATGATTCCTCTCCCCTTCCTTTCTGATAGTGTCTGATAAATATAAGAGATAGAGGTGGTGGAGTTATTAAGAAGTCATTATTTCTACACCGTGTAATATTATTTTATATCCCAAAAAAGGAGGGGAATAGATATGAAAATCTCCAGAGCAGAATGGAATTCAACAGTGTTGATGAAAGTAGTTATAACCAAAAAACCAATGTTTATATCCATTTACATGTGTTAGTATTAATATGTTAAATAACACTGCATGTGAAGGTTGCCAAAAGATTGTTGAAAGCAAGAAATGTCAAACTCTGTGAATTTGTTTTCAAAAATTTCTGTAGCTATTAGTATGGATAATGAGCATAATGTCTCAGACTGCAGGGTTATAGGCTTATCTGTAGCAGTAAATACTAAATGGTAGCTGTCCAAAAGTTGTTACAATTTCATTCAGAATTAGTGTTTTAGAAACTCTTCTAAAACTGAATGTCTTTTAACTTTGAAAAGTTGTCTTTAGGTTTTGATACTTCAAGTATTTAAAATTTCTTACTAATCAGAACATATAAAAATTATACAATTTCCATTTTTATTAAAAATTACCATATACCTAAGAATAACAAAAAGTTCGATTGTAGGTAAATGAAAAGACAAAAGAACATTTCCTCTTCTTTTTTTTTTTTTCATTTTGCTTTTCATTGTTGAGTGGAGTCATATGGCTTCATTTGGAAATTAATTATGTAGAAGTTCTGAAAGGTCATTTCTAAAAACTTACAAAATACAAGCTGAAGTAAAATCTACTCAGCATTTCTAATACGGGCTATTTAGTGGAAAAAAATGCCAAAAAAATGTTAGAGTACTTTTCCATGAACAATTTAATCCTATAAAGGCATTCTAAATGTATTTAATATATATTGCCAAAATGTTCGTACAGCACTATTAAGTAATAACTATCTTTGTAGACACCCTAGAGACTGAAATCAACATTTAAAAATTTTGGATGACTTTAAAGACATTGAAGTTGGTCATTATCTACTTTGGGCTTGACTTTATGCTTGTAAAAGTCAGTGGAAAGGCTGATTTCAGGGCTTTGCTTTTTGCCGGTACCTGTTGTGTGCTCAGTCTGTTAGGCAGAGTGTTTAGGTGACAGCAAGAGTTTAACCACAGACTCCATTCCCAACAGAATGCACACTCCACTTTACAAGAGTGTGCCTGTCTTACTAACCAGCGAGGTGATGATTTTGGTCAGCCTTTCCCTGACCCAGAGGAATAACAGTAGGCTGAAGTAATTAGGACAGACAGGATGTTTCAGAGATCTTCCCAAATTCCACTCCACATCTGGGTTTATTCTTCAGTTGTTTATTAAAATTGGGTTTACTCTTGCCGATAGTGTACTTCTGAGGAAATGTAAAGCTTTTTCTAAGCTGCTTAATGCTATGACAAGAACGGTAAGTCCTTAACCTTGTTTCCTCAAAGAAGTTGTAATGGTTGACCTTGCATTGATTTTTCTACCAACTGAAGTTAAACCAGTGCAAACCCTAGGTGGACAGTTCTTTTATTTACAGCCTGACTGACTTTACTTGGGCTTAAAATAGAAGTGTTCACACAACCACCCCACTTTTCTCAACAAAATTAGCTTAAAACGGCACTTTGAATTCAACTAGTGTCTTTTTCTGCTCTGGGCAAATATGTCTAAATCTCCCCTGGTGAATGTTTAAGGGGATGTTTGATCCACTGTCTTCGTTTAGCTGTTTAGTGAGGGCACAGCAAGGACAGGTAGCGACAGGGAGCTCCAAATTCAGCTGAGTAATAAATTGCATCTCACATCCCAGCATCACTCCCACCTGTGAAGCTCAGCATCGTCATGAGGGTCATGAGCACCAACCTGTAGAGGTCTGCAGCAAAGTCCTTTCTCCTGGGACTATAAAGACTCCAGGAAAGAGTATACAAATGATTTCTCAGCTTAAAGTTGGGTCTTAGTTTAACCTTGAAAAATGTATTAATTTCCTTCTGTCTCTTGTCACACATGGGAAGGATATTCCTGAGGATGAGTGAGTGTATGCTTTGGAGATTTTGTCATTGGTTTATTTTGCTTCACATTGGGTTTATGTTTTCCTGACTCTCTTTCCAAATACTTTTTAAATATTTTGTTCTTCCTGAGTGTTTTGAAGCCTCTCAATGCATTTTGGTGTGACTCCTGGTCATAACCTCACCATTATGCACAAATTAGGTAGAGGTGTGACGATTTTCTTATCCCTACTGACATCCTGCTTTAAGGATGCAGGCAGCTATACTGGGTCTTAACCAATATGGCCAATATTTAACATTAGTCTAAATTATTTCTGCACAGATTAATTGTTCCAGATAACTGGAGGCAGCCCCTAGAGAGTTTGGATTAATTTTGTGCTCAAGTCGATCAGTTTATAGGCATGCTGCAGACATCTACTTGAGTGCTTTTGCCATGGCCTGATGAGGCCTTAATTTCAGTTATCTTTGATGGCTAGATCACTTGACTAAAGCCGCGAGAGGAAGCAAGAGGAGGGGAAGGAGGTCTAGTTTCAATGTGTGGGTAGGAATGTGCAAGTCTCCAGGTCTCTCTCCATCCTCTTACAGGGTGCCACTTGCTTACTGAACTGCCCGTCCTTGTGGCTAAGGTCCTGTTCCCTGCTCAGCCCGATGGCTGCTGCACGAGAGCTCCCATGACTTCGTTGTCGGCAATTTTCAGCTAAGCAGTGCTGGCCTCAGAGGTGGAAATTAGTCTGCGGTCTCCTACTAGCAGTGTGTTGGGGGTGACAAAAGTGATAGTCTCTGAATGCCAAGAACATGGCCTTTGCAGGAACAAACACGGAGAAATGTTGAAGGCTAGCTATGGTTTACACCTGGTTATATGTTGTTCTCTATCTCCACAAGGCAAAAAGTCCAGGGAAATCCTTAAAGTGGAATGGAGAAGGATACTTTTTATAGGAGGAGGAGGAAGAAGCCTAGCCTTAGGCTGTGCGAAGCTCAAAGGGCAGCTCCACATAAAACACACAATGGCCCTATGTCCTTCCCTCTTACATAGTTGCTTAAAACATCGTTAAAATGCTGGTCCCACAGGAGACTTCACACCAGGGTCTGTGGGAATATTTCCTGTAATTTCTCTGCACACACACACTTTTTTTAAATAGCAATATTGCGAGCTTAGGAAAGGAAATTGAGGTTGATGGAGTAATACTAATTTATAGCAGCTGAGACTTAGCCCAGTGTCTGTTGTCTGCACATAGAAGTATTTATCAGCAAAATGCTCACTGGGTAGTTTTTTCACTACTTCTTTTTTCCCTATTCTTTCCTCACTGGAACAGCGTAAACTTTTTAAATCGTATGTGTGGTTTCTTACAAACTACAAAGCAAAAACTAAAAGACAGTCACTTTGAGCACTATGACTGAAAGACAAACGTCTTCAGGGAAGAAGACCATCCATGTTTGTGTATTGAGAGTTTGGGCTTAGAAACAACGTTTGGTGTTAACTGCGGTTGAAGACATAACAGTGTCAGAGGTGGTGAACGTTTGCATGGGCAATCCAGGAGCATACCCTGGTAGCTGACTAAGAGCATCCCTGAACAGAAACGTACTAAAATGTGAGCTTTTAGACTTTAAAAGCTTTCCTGAGCTGAGACTGCAGGTTCACAGCCTAAAATGTATTGCTGTATCAAAGCTAGTTATAACATGTCAGCTGTTCTTCAGTAGCTCTTACTACCAAGGGAATGAAGTACAATGAAAAACAACAAAAAAAGCCATGGCATTTACCACAGGGTGAATGTGTACACATGAGCTTCTACCACAGAGCAGCTGGTTTGTGATAACTCTTGGTTGTGTGTGATAGGTTTGCTTTTCCCCCTTTTAATTTTGTTTTTCTCAAAAAAAAATCAACCCCAAAACTATGCAGGCTGGGCTATTTGTCATTCATTTGTATATTTTTAAATTGAAATGAAAATTCATGTATCTAGAATTGACAATGTGATCTTTAGCTTAACTCTTTGGATTTATAAAATGTGACATCTCACCTTTTTGGTCCAGTTTTGCATGAATTTAAATGATTTCAGAAACTAGAATATTTCCATCCCTCCCTTCTCCCAGGAAATCTACATAACAAAACACATTCTGGTAACTTATTCCCACTGCAACACAAATATTGTCGTGATTCAGTGATTCTGTTGCAAAAGGGCCATGCTCTGGATTATAGAGTTGAGTTCTGAGGTGAGAAAAAGTGTGTGCAGCATGAAAGATAGAAAAGAAAATGCTTTTATTAGTGATGATTTTACTTCTAAAAGGAGTCCAAGCAGAATTTTTGCCTGACTTAGAGAGGAGCAGATGTCTTTTTTAGCACTATTCATTTTTCATGGAAGAAAGGTTTCAAATTCTGTCTAGGAAATTCTACACACGTACGCCCAACAGTAGAATTATTTAATTATTACTTAATTGTTATAAGACATACAAATGTCACTACATTTGGGGCTTAATCAGGTGGCTATGAAAGTAATCAGGAGGTTTTCAACCAATTTTGAGGGCAAGTACAGTCTTATAAAGCCAGCATACCTTTAGGAAGTCTTCCTAGGAGGGCTTTAGAGCCCTGTGCACCTCCCTAGGTCCCCAACACCGGACTTATGTGTCCTGTACACCAACAGCTGGAAATTCTTGAAGTGGGACTCAGGTGAAAACCTGGCCTATTGCAGTGAGGATGGGTATTGCCGCTGAGCAGGGGTCCAGGGTTTCACACAGAGTGCGTGTGCATGTGCATGCATACGCTGATTTTTGGTGAGCCAAAACGACAGTCAAATGCCAGTTCCCAGTGAAAATCAACAGACATAATCTCTCCTTTCTTCCAGAATCTCCTCAGTAGATACTTGAGTAGAACCAGTGCGGATAGCTCCTGACCAAATACAGTATTTAAATAATCTTAAAAATTTAACCTTAACTATTGAAGTATTCTAGACCTCCCAGTCTACACTGGGCATTAACTAGGTCACTTGAACACTGCATCCCATTTTGTTGCAGCATTCGATTAATTTCATATTTATGCTTTCTTTCCCTCTTTCACTGATGCCAGCAGGACTGCCTTGTAAGTGAGAAACCATTGCGTTTCTCAGAGGGAGCATCCTGTACAAATAAAAAAGCAGCAGAGTAAATCATATAAAATTATAGCATATGGTAGATTCTAAGCCTCAAAGTACCCAACTTTCCATAGCGGCAGAGGCACAAATGGAATCAAATTAATAAATTGCCATGTTTTCTTATTATGAATGTCTGAATTGAGAAGTTCACCTGAGCAGATACTCTGTTTTGTAATTGCCTGGTATTTGCTCTTTCTTACTAGAAAGAAGTCAAAGACAAGGCTTTTATCACCCCATTTTTCATATAGTATGTGCTAACAAACAGCTGCATGTTTAAGAACAGGGGAGTCATTATTCCATATTAGGATCCTGAAGGTAGTAAAGTTACTTGGGGGGAAAGTAGTCTGGTGGTGTTCATTTATGGCACAGTCTAGGGAGAAGGTGTCTGCGACATTAAAGGCTGCTGTATTCAGGGACCAGAGCAGGACTAGCAGAAGGTGCAGGTTTCAGTCCTTCTCTGCTACCTCTGCAATACCACCTGTGACTTCACTGGGAGATTTATCTAACACAGAGAATGTAATGGGTTGCTCACAGTTTCCAAATTGTAGGAACTCTGTGCAAGATCATCTCAGTTTCTATTTCTCTGCCATACGTTCTTGTCCTCAAATAATTATTAACACCTCAACCATCCCATTAGCACATGGACTAGTGGCTGATCCTTCTCATGTTTCTCTTGCTACCTTCTGAAGGTGAATGTGGGACAACTACGCCATGTATTAAATTCATGGCAACAGATCAGAGCTACATGTGGAATCATACTTGACATATATACCAAATGACTAGGACTCTCTGGCGCTGAGACCCTGACCCTTCTTGGTGTTTATAAGAAGATGCTCAACAAAAACTGAGTACTTTGTAGGTATTTGGTGAATAGCTATATCAGCAAGTGACGTAAAGCTCTGTGTGAATTGGGCACCACCCTGGTTGGAAGCCCATGCAATTCCTATACTTCTTTTGCTCTAGCACCTTATTCCTTCACCCAAAAAGTGATGAAAAGTGGAGGGAGTGAAGACAGAAGGGGTCATTGATTTCTTGTTATTGCCTCAAAGACAACGTATGAGCATTCCCCTAACATGGTTAGCACAAGAGAGCTCCCTGATGATCCAAAAAAATGGGAAGACAGATGCAGAAGACTTGCATTCACATGTTGTTAGGTCTGTGTTTCAAGGGATAAAATATTAATCAAAAAACGGATAGTTTCTGTGACTGATTCTGAAGGGAATTTCCATATGTTGTTAATCCTGTAATTCCAGTACACTGTTTGTTGACTTTATAGTCTCATGTACAGAGAGAGGAAACGTGCTTTAACAAACAGATCCTTCATTCAGGAAGCTTTTATCTTGGAGAACACACAGCCAGGCCCAGGAAACACAAGTCATCAATGCGTTGTATGTTTTTGAGTCATTGAGATTATCACAAGAAAAAAATAAGAACAGTAAGCATGTCATATGATAACCATGTAGTTAAGGGAATACACAATGAATAACTAAAAAGTTACATTGGCAACAGGTGACCGTATTGAAGGGAGAATAACAGAAAACCTCATCTACAGAGAGAGTTTTCAAAAGTGTCCCCTCCCCACTGAGGATCTTGAGTATGCAGAACAAAACAAGTTCTTTAATAAATGCTTAAAGTTGGGCAGCTGCTAAATAAGATGATCCCAAAGAGAGGCATTTTGTAAGTGTGGCTCTGCTTAAAGGTGATTGCTGTCTTGATGCCCAGTGTGTTCTTGCACCTTGCTTTATTTTGTGTTGCACTTGTTGCACAATCAGCAGGTCTCAAATGATTTGTGTTGTCTGTAAAGCATAGACCAGACTTGTCTGATACAATTTTTTGGTTTTATGTAGTACCTCCTATGGAAGATTGTAAGGAACAAGAGCCTGTGATGGACAACAATATTTCTCTGGTGCCTTTTGAGAGACCTGCTGTTATAGAGAAGCTGACAAGCAACATGGGAAAGCGTAAAAGCTCCACCCCACAGAAGTTTGTGGGTAAGCTTGAAATATGCCTTTCATTATTCTTGGTGTGTAGGTGTAGGTTACTTGTTATTTGTAAGAGCCAAAAGAACTAGGGGAAAAGTAGTACTCTGAGAACTTGGTTGCGATGGGGAGGGACAACAATGGAGATGGCTAAATCACAGCAAGAAATTCTGAAAATTATTGAATTAGTTTTACCAACCCAGGGAACTCAAAAGTGAGGTTCCCAGAATCATGAAAATTGCTTAGAAAATCTTGAGCTTTTTTGCCTTAAGGCTGTCTTGTTGTTTTTTTTTAACTTTTCTCTGGCACTTTTGAGATTTAGACTTGTAATTTTCTCTCTCCTGGCCCTAGCAAATATAAACTAAGACTCTCATATAATTATCTGTGTCCATATGTATGTGTGTTAAAAAACAAACAACAAGTATCTCAAGACTTGTAACTTGTATTCAGTTCTTGAGAGTTGGCAACAACTGGTCTGATAATACCAGCATGAGGAAGTAAAATCACATCATTTCTATTGGAAGAGTGCTTGCTCCAAGTGCAGCGTTCTGCACACAATAAACTTATGAACACGTTAATATAAAACAGCATTGGATGACTTTTGGTTACCAAATTCAGAATTCTAGGTCTAGAATTCCTATCTTGCTTTGTGCATTGACATCTTAAAATTGTTCAGCTCCTAACAGGAAACAGTATGGGGAATTTTTACTAGGTTCATTGGGCTGTAGCTTAAAAATTCTTCTTACTGCTATTGAGTCAGTGCTAAACTTCTTAGGAGGGGAGCTGGGACAGAGAATTATTTGAGGTAAGTGTATGCTACTAGATTACAAAGTCATGTAATACGTGTTTTCCACACTCACTCCCTGGAAGGACAGTTGTACAGAATTTAAGGATGTCATATACTCATTCTGCCTATGCTGAGGATGCTTATGGAAAGAGGATCAGAGGACTGTAAGCAATTAACACAGCCATTTAGAAAAGTCATTGCCCCTCAGCTAAATGCAGATTCAGATAGATATGTTAAATCACCACTGAAGGTGTTTTTAAGCTAACCCACATGGTTTTGAATAGTAGGGGGCTAGCAACATGCAGCAGCTCACCTGGGGTGCACTGACACACTGACCTGACTGCTCTCAGTTATCTGACCGTTCCCAAATATCAGTGCTAAGCCAAGGTTAGGTCAGGAACAATCCAACCCACAGGAGGAACTCTAGAAGGCATCAGTATTTCCTATATGGTTATTAGTCCTTCTGAGATAAAAGCTTAATTCTTAGGCTGTTGTCTTTTAGAGTAGTCTGATATGAATTACTGCATAGCTGATAAGAACTGGAGGATTTATACTCTGATTTAATTTACTGCTGTGACAACAGGTGGGGTTGAAGAGGGTGGAAATGGAAGCAGGACTTTCTACTGACAAGCCAAATACAGCTTTATGAGATTGTAAACATAGCCCCATCATAGCAGATTTCCCTAGTGTTGTGTCAGCAAGTGCTGTATGTTCTTGCAGGTTGTGATCAACAGTGAAATAGTTAACCATGCTGACACTTAAACTGGTGTGTTTAGACCTCAGAAACATTAAAGCCTTAAAAGGAAGAAAGGCAGTTCACATCTCTCACTCTTTTTTTCCCCCAGGTTGTCCACAGACTTGAAAAGTATTGTATTTGCAATACCTCCAAAGGGTATCTTTTCAGGGGCTAGAGACTTATCTGAGAGTGCTGGAGACCGTGCTCCCTTCCTTTAAATTCTGATGTTCGCATGCCTGCTCTCAAAGCAGTATAGTTTACTGATTATAAGTATACCTCGCAACTGAGGCAACCCGCTTTTTGGATAGTACAAACTGAATCCATTCTTGGAAGCTGTAGATTATGGTTTCTTTTTTAGACCAGGCAGGTTATCTTACTTGTTCACTCACATGCAATTAACTGTGTGTTCTTATTGTCTTCAAAGGCAAATTTACAGATTGGAAATCCTTTCCTGAGATATGCTGTAGCAGATAATTATTCTCTTCAGTACAGTATACTACTTTGTTGTTAGATAAACTGTTTCTTCTATAGGTGTAACAGATCATTTTGGTATTTCATTTTTCTGGGGATAAGAATTCAGGGCTTTATGTGACATGCAGCTTTTTATCCAGATCCAACTGTAGGGCAAATGTCTCCTGTTTCTTATTTACTGAATCTTATTTTTCTGCCTTTTCTGATCTTTCATGACATCATAGTGTTTGAATTCAAAACCAGCAGTCTCCGCTTTGCTACTTTTCTTTTTTTCACCATGACCTTACTTTTCTTCCTGTTTTCTCCCCAGTGAAATATTGTTAAACTCTGTCAGGAAGATCTTGTAATGGTTCTCTTGCTTGCAGGAAATTTTCTTGTGCATACTGCAACTGTGGCACCTGTCCAAAACAACTTAATGGTGTTTATGAGAAGGTCATGTAAGCATAAGCTAAAATCTTTGTGTGCTACATCTATCAATGCTTTACTGCTCTTTCTGATCAGCAGTCTCCAAGGGACCTTGGTTGTGGACCACAGTCTCTACTCTGGCAGAAATTTCAGGGGGAAAGGAAGCAGCCTGGAGCAAATTGAGTTAATTTCTGAGTGAGAGACTAGGTCATATACCTGTTATTGAAGTACTAGTCTTAACAAACCTGTTGAAATAGTGGAGGCAGAAATTATAACTTATGGTGTGCAGGAGTCTAAGTACTTCTGTTTGTTTCCCCTTCAATGAAGGGAGAAGCAGACACTAGTGAAATTGAAAGCAACCATCTTCAAGCTGATCACACGAAGCAGATTCACATATTTTTGGTTTGAACGTGCTGCTTACTCTTACTGAGGTTAAGATTTGTCAGGATACAAAAGGAGACATTTATGTGGCTCATGGTAAAACACGGTTGTTATAGTAAGAATTAAAAATACACACGTGTCTCAGAACAGATGAAGATCATCCGGCTTCAAAATTAGAGTCAATTCTAGTTAATGGGGGTTGGGAAGAAATTTACCCGGTGGTAATTTCTGTAACTGCATTCTCCAAGATTTCTTGCAGCTTTTTTCTATGTGTCTGGCATTGCAGTTGCTTTAGGTACTTGACGAGATGGTCTACAGGTGTCACAGGATAGCTGTGTCTGTGTACTTTGATCTAGCTTCAAATACTTGTTTTAAGGAGGTTTTTGAATGTCATATGATAAGATGACCACAGTGGAGAATGTTTCCTCTTCTACTTCACTAATGTAGGGCAAGAATAAATAGAATTTAAGCATGATTTTGCTTGAAAAATCAAAATTATGAATCTGATTAGTTAAAGTACAGATTTGGCTAAAGAAGAATTAAAATTGAAAACCATGTTGGATTGGTTTGTTAATGTATCTTCTAAGCTCTGTGTTTTACATCCTCTCCTTCCCATGTTATTTTACTTTCTTTATGTCACGGTCCATTTCTAAGGCTCTGACATCTTTGGAACTGGTTTGTAATTAAAGGAATGAATAATTCAGGTCACTGGCAATTTACAGTTTTCTGTACTCTGCTGTCTGCGGTGGAGTAACTAAATGTGGAAGATAAAAGGAATCAAAATAAGATTTGCATCATTCATCCAAGTAATCCATAAAGGAGAGGTATTATTTCTTGATCTATTTAGCATACAAAGGATGGACATTGGAGGCTTGATCAGACTCTCATCAGATCCAGTTCTTTAATCAAACACAGGAATGATATAGGTGGCCAGAGCACGTGACAGGAGGGACCAATGAACTTTTAAATTTTCATTTCTTTCTTCACACTGTGCCAAAGACACCATGTGCCTCCTAGGGCTGTCCTCCAGTCCCGCTTTGGTCCCACCTGGGAAGGAGCTGCTCAATTTCAAGTGAGGCTGGAGCCACCTCCTGTTACAGAGTTGTCCATCCTATCAGCAGCAGGACAGACATCACAGACAGCAAGACTGCCAACCCACAGCAGAAACACTGAAAAGAGGATGTTTGATGGCAAGAATCATCCTTAGGTCGCGTTAGATTACAAAGGCCATCATTGTAGCACCATTTGCTTCTTCCTTCCCTCATTTTCTCCAGATATCTAATGTGTAACGAACAGTTTTCTACATTTCACCTTCAGTAAGCTGTGAGTGTAACACAGCTGGCTATAGGGAAGTGTAGTGAGGTACATGAACATGGGGTCTAATCAGAAGCGTGTAAGCAGTACTGCTGAAGAAAGTAGGAATATTCATGTGCTTCACTTTAGACTTGCATTTAATTACCTTGCTAATTAGGGCTAAGTTCCCAACCAAAAGTGATGCATCATTTCCAAGGATAACCTGATTGTTCCATGGGAAGTGTAAAATTATTTCTCGCTTTATGCATCACTTTAAGCCACACTAGAGAATTATTGTAGTCAAAAACAAAATACTGAGTGATAGCTGTGTTGAAATGTACTAATGCTATTTGGAAGAGATTTGGGATTACAATTCTGTTTCTTTCTTATGGTGGTTTATACACATTTTGTTCCAAGCAATTTTGGAAAAAGGTGATAGAAGACTCTTGAGTTCTTTAATTCTTGGATAGCCAGACTAGTTGTATATAGTGACTCCTTGAATTTATTAGCTTACACTAGTGAAGAAAAGTCTGGTTTTGTGTACCAAGGCAGTGAAAAGTAACGAAGACAATGAAAACCAACCAAAATTATTTGTCGGATTTCGTAAAATCAGCTTAAAAAGTGAACTGTCAACAACTAGCTAATATTCGTGTGTGCGAACATGTATGAATGTGTGTATCTTGTGTCTTACACATATAGTTATAACCTTTTCTATTTAAAAAGAAGAGTTATTATATGAACTTTCCTTGTACTGACACTGTAAAGCCATCAGTGGAAAAGCAGTGCTGCTGAGCTGAGCCCTGATGTAAGTAGTGCTAAGTCTGTTAACTTCAAAGGAGAGCTGTGATATGTAACATGCTCAGTCACTAGTGTGATTTACAAGCGTGTGTTTCTGGTTTTGCATATCTGTAATGATATTGACTTAAAAAGGTTACAAGAATGTGAATTTGGATTCACATAGTGATGAATCAGCCAGGTTCATCATCATTATGTACTTATTTATCCTGTGTCAATGAAAGTTGCTTTTGCCTTTTACCAAATGAAGCTAAGCTATAAATGCAGTTTCTCTATTTTGTTTTCTTGCCTAAATAGACACTGGGAGGGGTGTGTGTGGGGTGGGGGGTGGGGGTGTGTCTTTTTTTTTTTCTCAGCCCAAAACATTGGGATAGGATTTTTTTTTTTTTTTTTTGAGCGGGAGAACTGCAAAGATACTATAGCCTGAGCGTGAGATGGCAATGGCAGGTGAGCCCACAGTGCTTCTGTTACTTGCTCCATTCTGTGGCCGCGTGTGGTTATTTTACATTTTTTATGCTGGTTGAAGCATTTACCTATTGTGTCTCTAAGTACCATCCCCCTGTACACGTTGCTTAGGTTTCTTGCTAAGCCCTGTTGGTAAGGTATGTATGAGGCATCTCCGAGTGCAAGGGACATGCAGTACTGGCTCATTTAATTTGGGGGGAGTTTTCTAATGGTATAAACCGGTGAAGATTCATGGACCTCAGTTCAATCCCATTTTTTACCAGTTAACATGTGTTTCCTAACTTGAAGCATGGGCAATGAGGCACAGTGGAAGGTTTGGAATTAGTCTGGAGGTTGCTGCGGCCATATGCTTCACCTGGAATAAAAGAAAATGCTGTTGGTGAGGTTGCGGTTTTACCCATCTCAGGACAGAAACTTTGTAGGAGGTCAGTAAAGAAGTTGAAGGAGGCTAACTTTGGACTCTGGAATGAATTTCACCCCAAGTCAGGGGTTTTCTGTCCCTCTCCACCTCTTTTACAGTGAAGCCTTGGAGTGATTATGTTGATTTTTTTCTCATTAATTTGCTCTTGTCCCTTAGGTGAAAAGCTCATGAGATTTGGCTATCCAGATATTCCCTTTGATATGAACCTAACCTATGAGAAGGAGGCTGAGCTGATGCAGTCTCACATGATGGACCAAGCCATCAACAATGCAATCACCTACCTTGGAGCTGAGGCACTTCACCCCCTGATGCAGCACAAACCAAGCACAATTGCAGAGGTGGCCCCGGTCATCAGCTCAGCTTACGCTCAGGTCTATCATCCTAACAGGATAGAAAGGCCCATTAGCAGGGAAACGGCTGACAGTCACGAGAACAACATGGATGGCCCAATCTCCCTCATCAGACCAAAGAGTCAAACCCAGGATAGAGAGGGCTCACCCAGCAATAGCTGCCTGGATTCTACTGACTCAGAGAGCAGCCACGAAGACCGTCAGTCCTACCAAGGAAACTCTGCCTTAAATCCCAAGAGGAAGCCAAGCCCGGCTTATATGAAGGAGGACGCCAAGGCTTTGGATGCCACAAAAGCTTCTAAGGGCTCTTTAAAGGATATCTACAAGGTCATCAACGGAGAAGGGGAGCAGATTAGGGCTTTCAAGTGTGAGCACTGTCGTGTCCTTTTCCTGGACCATGTCATGTACACTATCCACATGGGCTGCCATGGCTACCGGGACCCACTAGAGTGCAACATCTGTGGCTACCGAAGCCAGGACCGCTATGAGTTCTCGTCGCACATAGTCCGAGGGGAGCACACATTCCATTAGGCCTTCTCATCCAAAGGGGACTTGTATGAAGTAGAAGAACTGCACATGAAGAAATACTGCACTTACAATCCTACTTTTCCTCAGACGTTGGGACGCCTATTTTGTTGTTGTTGCTGTTGTTGTTGTTGTTGCTGTTGTTTAATTATTATTATTAACCTTGTTTTTTGTGGACCTAACCTCATTTGCTCTGCCCAGCTTATAAATGGAAAGAAGGAAGGGAAGGGATATAAGAGGGGTTTGTTGTTGCCACCATTTTTTGATGATTGACCCTCCTCGCTTTCTGTGGGAATTGAAAGACAGTCTGTTTCTGTCTCAGTCTCAAGCTGTACATCGTGTCTTGTTTTGGGATATTGCTCAACCCTGCTAGGTCCTTTAAAGTCCTGACAAGATGCCACTCGTTTACAGTTTCAGATGAATAGGTAGAAATGTTTCAGAGGAGAGCCTTTTTCAAACATCTAGATACAGTGCAGGGTTTCAGTGGCTGGAGGAGAGGCGGGGAACTTTATTCTGCAGAATGAACAATTATTTTTAAAGCAAAACTGTTAGGGATTTAGCACGAATTAAAGTCAGTATTCCTTTCAAAATTACTTTCTAGGGTGAGCTGTTTTCCTGGGTTCAGTGTGTATTGCCCCTTCAGAATGTTAAAAAAAAAAAAAAAAAAAAAGTATGTCTTAACACTGTACCACATTACAGCAGTTTAGTTTCATAAGTCTGAGGGCCTTCTGTGGTAAGTCTGAGGCTTTGTATTTTTATTTTCCTTAACTTATGAAGCACCTTTTTTTAGAATTGTTGATTTACTATTACTCCATGACAATGTGTTGACTCACTGGCTTCTTAGAGACCCTTGTGAGCCTTGCTTATTTAGTTGCACCCTATGTTTTAAGAAATAGCAATTAGAAATAATATTTAAACTTGCTTCTAGGACAGTAAGTGGCCTAGGAGTGGGTGAGAGAGTCTGTAGTTTACTCAAGAGGTTCTGCTGCTCTCCTGAAATAATTTTGTTTAAAAATTATGAATTTTAAAATGACAAAAGTACTAATAGCAAAGTGTTCTTTAAATATAGGTATATATAGATATATAATTATATAAATAATTTCTCATTCTATTACCACAGTGTTAACCTCTAGACAACAGCCTAAACTGAGACTTGCAGCTGGGAGAATGCTAGGAGCCAGGTCCTTAGCCAGCATTAATCCTATTAGCTCCATTGAATTTAATGGGGCTACCCCAATTACTTCAGCTACATCAGGATCCGAGCCTTGACTGTTTTTCTTCTGTTGACATCTTATTGGCTAATTTGCTGAACCGAACCAGTGACTTCCTTTTGGTTTTAAGTCATTAATCCTGCTTTAATTTAGGGATAGAAGTGTTTGCAGGTTTTGCTGAATAGCCTTTGCTCTTAGAGAGTGCAGAAGCCCTGCAAACAAACAGCTTCCATATAACCTTCCCTACTTCTTCAGAAAGTGATACATGGAGATACAGGTGCTGTGCTTTGGTTTGGATTTGTAGATTTCATTTTTATTCCTAATTTATTAGTTTCACTGTAGGGAGAACAAATGGAGAAACAAACTCCAGAGCAAGTCCTTGAACTACAGACTGGACAAGAAAAAAAACCCACCAAATCTGTTTTGTTTCTTTCCTCCCAATAAGCTAGCAACCACCCAGTAAGTTGCAGGTTGCATCAGTAAAAACTGGGCTAAAACCTATGTGACAGATTGCCATTGAAACCCAACTGTTTGTACCAATCACAATTGAAATGTTGTTGTTTGGCAACAAGAGCATAGCTTGAGAATGGAAAGATCTGCATGAGTTTAACCCCCTCTGTGCACGTGGTCTCCATGCGCTTGGTGAGACCTTTTCCAAAGTATAAAGTTACTAAAGTATAAAAGAGAGAGCAAGATGAGGCCATAATGAATTCCCATCTGCTCACTTCAATCTGCGTACTCAATGCATATGCCAGTTTGCTGTTCGTTTTGAGGGTGCTGGGTTTTTTTCTTCTTCTCTTCCTAGACCTGGAGCATTTGAAAGTAGGAGTTGAGTGGTATTGATTGAAATCTTTTTATGGTGACATTCTTGGCAGCTAGAACCTGTGTTTAGAAAGGATACAGTAGATCATGGCCAGATTACCTGATGACTACTTCCCAGCACTGAAATGCTATTAAGTAGGAGCTGGTAAAGTCCTGCAGTAACCTATTAATTATACTACAATATGGAGAGAAATGTCATCTCGTGTAATGTGAGAGCTATTAAGGCTGGGAATATATGGGCTTTGGAGAGACAGATTTAAAGACCTATTCCCAACATTGTTCTTAATGTCATTGGGTTCCTCCCCCTCCTTCTTTCTTCGTCCTAATGTAGAGGAAACCCAGGCAAATGAACTGCTGCTGTCCTCCAGACCATTCTCATTTTCTTGTGCTTTCTGCAATCAAAGGAGTTTGTGCAGGACAAAAACAGGGAGATGCTGGGGGGCATCACTTTTATTCCGTATGGCTGATTCTCTGTAGCTATGAAGGTTGGCTTAGGAGGCGGCCAGCCATGTTCTGCATCAGGATGTGCTTGGAAATTCAGAAAATGGGGTTTGCTTTTACAGCATGCCACCAAAAAAAAAAAAAAAAAAGGTTATGATTTCTGTGATTTCAGCTGAGGCAGGAAAGGTCTTTTAAGAAGAATGTGCAAAGATAAAGGTGCTGGGCCTGAAGGTCACTAGGCTTGCATGGGCCAGAGAAAAGGGTTGCCGGCAATCCCTTTTAGTCTCTGGGGGACAACACTCCATTCTCCCCGCTGTGGTCAGTAGAAAGAAAAGGGGCTGTGGTTTATTGGAATAGTTAGCACCAGGGAAAAAGTGTCAAAAAATTCTGCCTGTGTTTAGGAAAGCACTGGAATACGGGAAAGGCAGAGAATCTCTTGTGTATCTACAAATAAGTTGGCTGCGATTATATCTGCAGTTCGTTAGTGTGCACTTTCATTCATTGATGATTCATTGATACCTCCTGTGGTGTATATTCTGTAGATGTTTAAATGATCAGACAGGAGGTGAAGTGGTTTTGTACCTGGCTTCAGTTAAGCCCAACTTCTTGTTCCAATGGTAGCATGCGAGATCTGTATGTGAGCACTGTTATGTCCTGGTATCACAGGCACAGAGAACTGGCGAGGCAGTGGGGAGACATGATGGTTTAGTTATCTTCCCAAAACTGCATTTTTTGGAGAGCAAGAGGCTGAGGGGATGCATTAATTTTTATTGTGAATGTCCTTTTCTGAACACTCCCTGAAGTTTTTCATCCTAAGCCAGGGAAAGGAGAAAACTTAAATTCTAGTTCAAATTTTGAACGAAGTTTTGGACTAGCATTTATTTTAGCATTCACTTCCTACTGAAAATATTGGAGGGTATTATATAAAGTAGTTTGCCCCTACATGGAAGTGTGCAAAATTTGGCCTCAGAGACGTTTTTTTCCTTGCTTGCTCTCTGCAGATTTCTAAGAAAAACTCTTGAGTTTTGTCAAGTTCATTAGTCATTCACAGTGTACTAGGAATTTCAGTAGATAATCCTTGGCCTGCGGATCCATTTGTTCTAAGTATTTGGTGTTTGAAATCAAACCTACCTGATTTTTATTTGACTCTCTTGAAATTCTTGGAATTGTGTTTCCAGTTAAAAACATACATTTGCAAATTTAGAACTGGCTTCTTGTGAGCATTCCCCATTTTCATTTAAAAAAAAAAAAAAAGCCATTTCTGCACACATCCCTGCCAGTAAACCCTTTCACTTCTTTTTACGTCAAATATGGCAAGATTCTGACTCAATTTAGAGAATTACAAGCCTATTAATTGAAGAAGTGTGACTGCTTATTCTGCTCTTGGTATGATCCGTATATTGTTGGAGCAAAGGGCGTTATCTATATATCTGCTATTATGGCAGATAAATTTTACAGCCACCTCTCTTTGCAATCAGTTAGGAGTGCACATCAAAATATATAGCATTTTTCAGTAAAGCCAGCTCTTTACTCAGTAACTTATGGGATTAAACCAATTTTATTCTCCTTAAAAAGTGCTTCCATCTATGATGTGATGTGAAAGGTGTCTAGGCATTAACCTCTATGGTCTGTATTAGGCAGAAAGAATCTAAATTTGTTGACTGATTTTTAATAGTAGTAGTTTCTACAATGTGAGGACACAGCTCACAAGATAGCCATGTGGAACTGAAGTATGTTTAGTAAAAGGAGAAGAAAGTCTTAGTTTTAAGAGTTTCCAAATATCTTTGTTTACAATGGTATTCCTAAATTGGGGCTGATAGGCAGAAGAGGAGGCCAGGGATTAAACCAAGTCCTTCAAATCTGGCCTTTAATAGGACATTATTACTATTGTCTACATCCTGAGCTAGCTTTTTATTATTTGAAAGAATCCAGAAAATAGACATTCCTTCCACCAGAAAGAAACTTTGAAGATAATTTAGGGAAAGGTGATTATTTCAGCCAAGGACAGGAGCTGCAAAACATAGTTTCTTTGCTAGATAATATTCCTTTCTTTAACTCTTCACTGTGCATTATAATGTAATGAGGAGGGAGAAGGGATGCTGCACTGAGTTGCCTAAACTCAGTGTGGGATTTTAGGAAAAATGGGATTAAATTGGCTTTGACACTATAAATTCGCATCTTAGCTTGGCTTAGTATCATTTAAAAACAAACATGGATGGTAGTAATGGCCTGCGGTCTAGGGCAGCTGGAGATTATGAGAAAGTATATTTATAGATATATGGTATCATATAATTAGATATATGCTTTATTGTATACGTGCCTTTTTCAAATGCATTTTGGAAGTTTGTGATGTCGTTCATGATATCATACCCTTTCAGAATGCACGACAAAAACCAATCCAAAGTAAACATCCATTCCACGGCACAGCGAGGCAGATCCCTCTCCCCTTCTGCAACCTCCTTGGCAGCTTGACCCAGAGAGAGAGGACCATCTTAGCACTTTGCTGTGAGATTTCCTGGAGTCGGCTGGCTTTTGGGAGTGGTAAGGGCTCAAAATTACCCTAGCAAAGTGCATTCCAGCTGTCCAGCTAGAGCTGGTCTCGGAGCTGGTCTCAACCAACACAGCGTTCCCAGAGTGGCACCAAGACTTGCTGCAAAAGCCCCCAGCTGCATGGAGCCCTACAGAGTGCCAGGGCAGCTGTCTCCTGTTCTGTCCCCCTCTAGAGCTTTAAGTAAAGTACACTTGAAAATGGACTTTGCTGTGCTTTTAAGTTCCCACTTAGAAATGGGAGCAGACTTTAAAGCATCTGCTTCAACCTAGAAAA